ATTCATTATGAGTTGCTTCAGTGGGGTCAAACACTAAATTTAGATATCTTCTGTCACAGACTGGACCGTTTGAAGCTAGCGATTGACCAGAAACGGCCAGAATTGGCCAACAAAAGAGGTGTTGTGTTCCATCAAGACAACGCCAGGCCACACACGTCTATACTGACTCGGCAGAAACTCTGGGATCTTGATTGGGAAATTTTAATGCATCCACCATATAGTCCGGATTTGGCACCAAACGATTACCACTTTTTTCTCGCATTGCAAAACTTCCAGAGTGATAAGAAGTTGGGATAAAGAGAAGATTGTGAAAATTGATTACTCGAATTTTCCCCCAATAATGGCCAAGAGTTCTAGGACAGAGGCAATATTTACCTTTTTTAAAATGGCAACAAATTATACAACAAAACAGTATATGCTTGACCCGAATCGGATAATCTGAAACATGTTAAATAAAGTTTTGAATTTCATGAAAAAAATAATGGATTTCTCTTTTTTCCCAACCTAATACACTGCTGGACAATTGCTAAGGACGGATAACACTATCATCCATAGCAACCACAAAATGAAAGGAAGCAAAACGTGGAAAATTGGAATAAGTGCGGGATATTAGTAAGAAGAAGTATGAGTAAGCAAATTTTTTTCCCACGTCTGTTCATCACGTGATAGCGTTCATAAGAGCTTTAAAGGTTTTGACGCGTGTGGACAGTTGTTGTTTCAAGTCAAAGTTTTACAGGAAAGATTTAATAGACGAACTTAAAATTTTTGGCATGTCTTCCCGACATCACATAGATTATTTTATGCGTGGCCGAATTATTGGAAAGATTGAAACGCGAAAAATAACAGATGTTGCCAGGGAGTTCGACATCGCTCACAGCGTTGTTTCACGGCTGTGGAAGTCATTTAAAACTACTGCAATGTGTAGTAGACGGAACGGGGGAGGTCGTGTTAGAAGTACGTCGCCTGCAGAAGACATATATCGTCCTATCAGCAAAAAGGAACAGGCGCACCACAGCTCCGCAGGTGGCATATCAGTTTCTTGCTGCCTCAGGAAAGCAGATTTCCCGAAAAACTGTTGCCAGACGTTTGAGGGGAGGAGGACTATACGCACGCAGACCTGTTGTGTGTGTCCCATTGACCAGACAGCACCGTACTGCCCGTTTGCAATGGTGTCGTGAGCATCACAATTGGACTGAACAGGACTGGTCATGCGTACTATTCTCAGATGAGAGTAGGTTCAGTCTCTCATCGGATTGTAGACGCCAACTGATCTGGCGCGAGAGTGGTACTGCTTATCGTCCAGAAAATATCCAGGAAAAGGACCTATATCCGACATGCAGTATCATGGTGTGGGCCGGCATCATGATCAATGGCCACACGCGCCTACATGGGGTTGCGAATGGGACTATGACGGGCCAACGTTACATTGATGAAATTTTACTTCTCCATGTTCGTCTTTTCCGTGGTGCTGTCGGTGATAAATTTGGTTTTATGGACGACAACGCAACATGTTATCGAACACTCGCTGTTCAGGATTGTCTAGACAGCGAGTGTGTTCAACGTCTCGTTTGGCCAGAGCGTTCTCCAGATCTAAACCACATTGAAAATGTGGGATGCTTTGGGGGAGTCAAGTTGCTGGTCGAAACTATCCTCCGACAAACAAGAACACCCTCATCCCTGCACTCACAGAGGAATGGGATAAATTGCCTCAACAGCTGCTGGATAATGTTGTGCAAAGTATGGTACGACGTGTGGAATGTTGCATCACACTCCACGGTGGACATATCCCGTACTGATACCTTTCTTTAAGGTGCCTGCTGACTTCTAGATGCATTGTTCCATTTCTCCGTACGCAGATCAAATGAACATTCTTTTCTTCTTTCAGATGTTTCACAGCTTTTGTACTTTCCAGAACAATAAATATTCTTTATTCTGATGTCTCAACAGTGTGGCAACTATATTTTTATCCTACTAGGCCTCGTGTCTTGCTTAATGTTATGCTACATAGCAATTTGTGATCCGTCCTTAGCAATTGTCCAGCAGTGTATATAGATTGTAGATAGGACAGCATTTTAGAATTGTTGGTGAATACCGCAATGTGAATGTTAGTAAAACAATAAATGGAGACTCATAAATTATTAAGAGTCAATCAGCGAGATGAGCTTCGAAAAAGATTCTGAAAGTGAGTGAGGGAATATTAATGTCGTATTATTCAGCTACTCCAGGACTTTTGGCGACGAACCTCGTAATTTTGAATAATGGTCAAAGAATAAGGACGGCACCTGAGCTGGCACCTCCCCTCCCCCGTCTTCTAAATGCCACACCAACGGGTGGACGTGTGACCTTTCAACAGATTTAACGTGCATCACTCACTACATGTGCGGGTATACACTGGTACTACGCTCAAAACTCTTGACATGCCGGCCACGAGACCGTTACCTTCAACAAGGCTGCCGCGGTCTAGAGAAAAAATCCAGAGTAAAACCGGTTTGTAGACAGTACTGCATCATTTTAGCTTAAACAAGACTGATAAAATGTTTTAAAAATTTATTTAATTACATACACAGGTGTGCAAAAATTAAGGATGAGACGGTTTTTTCAATATAACTTTGTACAAAAAAGCTTTCCAAATCAACATTTAATACCGTAAGATCCCCAATACGTAGGACATGTGTAATGTAAGCAACACTTACTAAAAGAGAAATCAGAGGGATAAAAAGAAGCTTGATTGAAAAAGTAGCATGAAGCGCAATGCGACTGAAGGCCGAAACATCCCTGTGATGGGTGTCCAGCAAGAAACATCCGGTCTTTAGTAGGGGATATGATCTCCCCCTGACTACTAGGCAGGTTTCACAGCGTCTGCCCACATGCTGAGAATGAGGGTGTCAATGAGTTGTTGAGGCATTGCTGCCCATTCATCTTGCAGCGCCAATCGAAGCTCCCGAATCGTTACTGGTGGTAAGGTACGAGCTGCCAAGCGTCTGCCTAGAAAATCCCCATACATGCTCAATGGGATTGAGATCCGAGATCGTGCCGGCCAATCCATACGTTCAATATCCTCACTCTCTAAGAGCTGTTCGACAGCTACTGTGCGATGACATGGTGCATTGTCGTCCATGAAAAGGAACTGCAGACCCATAGCGCAGTTTGAGTAGCGATGAGAATCGCTACTCAAACTGAATCTGCTCTCATCTGTAAAGAGTACTCGTCCCCATTCATTGTCTCTCCAATTCCGGTGTTTCTAGGCACCACAGAGAACGCCTTCTCCGATGGGCAGGCGTTAAAGGGTACCGTACAGGGCGTCGTGCAAACAGACCACCACCGTTCTGGCCACGGTAAAACGCGATATCGGTCGTTCAGTTGCCTGTGTCATGTGTCTAGCGATTTCTCCCGCTGTGTACCGCCCTTTTTTTTTGGCCTGTAAGACAATGTACCGGTCATCTGCGGGTGTGGTTCCTCGTGGACGACCACTACTGAACCCCCGGATAGCTGTTCCTGTAGTTTGAAATTGTCTCCAAAGTCGTGAAACGATGCTGTGAGCAATTCCGAACTCTGCAGCCACACTTGTCACACTGCGGCCTTCCTCCAACTTCCCAATGATTCGACCTCGGGTAAAAGCATCCAGATGTCGTCTAACAGATTGATTATTCGCCATTTCTCGCTGAGGCAGCAACTCGGTGTGATTTTAACTGCTATAAGGCGTGCAATCTCTTTGCCAGAAATACTGATCTTACACCGATAACATGCTTTATACTACTCAGACACTCCCCCCCCCCATTACGTCTACCTGCATATCTGCGCATGTGCTACCGTACATCACCTTACTTAATCTCCTGATTGGTCTTTGTGTCCGCTCTGCCTCTTCGTTCAGTTGATATTCTAATTTTTCGACTTCGTCCTTAATTTTTGCACACCAGTGTAGTTAACTATCAAAACTCATCTTAAATGTGGTAAAATAGGGAGTGATTCACATTCAATGCCGAAAATTTATGCAAGTTACAGCTGTTTCTTAAAAAATTATGAACAGGGCTTTTATAACTGAAAAATCAGATGTAGTTTCGTTAAGACAATTTAATTGTTCACGCTTTATGCCACTTGAAGCTGCATATATAATACTTTATTCATAAAGAAGTTCTAATATAGTTAATATATTTCACTAAAATACATTTAGAGAGTCAGAAGGAGTTATATTAACGTCGCACTATAAAACTGCACGAGAGCTATTGGTGACAGACCTGGTAATTTTTAACCATGGTAAAGTTACGAGGATGACACCCGAGCTGACACGCTGCTTCTCCTAACTTCCACACCACACAAAGGGAGGACGCTTGATCATCGACCCCCAACACACGGCGAGTCCTCAGTGGCACTAGGATTTAACTCAGGATACCACAGCCGTGAGTTCTGACCTTGATCACTAGGACATTAGAATTATGCTAAGTAAATGTAACCAACTTGGCCTAAAAAATCAACTAAGCAATGATCATTTGGAAAAATGTCCCAGTCAACAACACAGTTTTGATATAATCAAAAATCAAGCTAGAATATAACTAAATGTACAAGAATTATATATATATATACCAAGCAACCCAAAAGTCTGTTGACATTCGAAAATTTAGTAATTTATGGAATAATGCAAGTTGAGAGGTAACAAATAATATAAAAAAATGTTTCAACAAAGAAATTTTTTTCGTAACTTTTTATTAAATAATTGTAATTAAAATATAAGTATGCATATATATAGGACAGAACCCCAATAGAAAGCGATTTTCCTTTCTATATATATGGTTCTATATATTCTATATATATTCTATATATATTCTATATATATTCTATATATATTCTATATATATTCTATATATATTCTATATATATTCCTTTCTATACAAATGGTGTTGGAATATTTGTTTGTTTTGTCACTCTATTTACTCATTCATTAAATTTAATTACTCTAATAAAATATAGTATAGTTAAAAAAGAAATTACACATTATCAGAAATTAGGCTATTCCCTGGTGGGATTCGAACCCATGACCTTTGGATTAGAAGTCCAACGCACTATCTAATGCGCTACAGGGCTACAACAAACGATTTTTCTTCATATATGCTGTTGGCCAATTTTTTTGTTTGCTACTATTTACTCATTTTTAATTTATATTTTAATGAATGAATTAATATATTTAAAAAATGTACTAACATCAAGTGTCCTTCACTACAAGTTTTAAAAAAAGGTATTTGTACATGAAGGGATGAATAGAAAGTTTGTTATTAATGATTGAAAATTTAAAAAAAGAGATATATATATATAGGAAAATAAACTAATAGAGTAGTAGGTGAAAAAGAACACACACATGCTTAAATTGACATAAGGTTTTACTGAAACAAAAATTGCGCAAAAAATGGTCCCCATTATAGTTGAGATTATGAACTTTTCCACGGTTAGAAATTCAGTATTCTAATTTACAAAATGTCAGTGTGGAGGCGTAGAGCCCTGATATGTTATAGAATAGCGTCATCTCTAGCCTGTCTGATTAACACATGCCGGAAGGTACAACTTTTATGCAGAATGGCGTTCAGCGTGGAAAATGTCTTGTGCACATATTTTGCTGATGATCGCGTGTTGAGCCACCACATTCATTATATATGGCTTCCCAGGTCTCCAGATCTCAATCCGTGTGTTTATTGATTATGGGGTTACCTGAAGTCGCAAATCTACTTTGATCGACCGAGCTCATTAGGAATTCTAAAAGACAACGTCCGACAACAATTTCTCACCATACCTAGAGATATACTGTATAATGCTATTATTAACGTTTGTTTCCTTCAATGGGCTGCATATTAACAACTTAGCCTTTTCAGATACGGATATCCCCAAGAATGGAAGCCACTTCATTGGTAACAACATCTAGTGGAGGTTTCCTCTACCATATTGTGACGTTTCAGTTTTATTCATTCCAAATTCTCGTAGGAAGCTAAATATTATCGTGATTGAATGTTTTCTAGATTATCAGAGCTAAATTGGTACTCAAAGGAGCTTTTACATGCCACATAATCATATGACATACATGCCTACGATTTTAACATACAGAAAATCTATCGACTGCACTCGGGGTCAAATGCACAGCCTTAAGTTTACAAAGCGGGCACGCTACCTTTGAGGCAGGGGGTGAATGAATATTAACGTCGCACTGTTCAGCAAGCTATACGAGGGCTTTTGGCGACGAACCTCGTCAATTTGAACTATGGTTAAGTGACGAGGACTTCACCTTAGCTGGAACTCCCTCTCCTAACAACCACAACCACACCAACGGGAGGACGTTTCAACTCTCGGCAGATGTAATATGCATCGCTCCCATACACGGTGAATCTTTAGCGGTAGTGGGCTCAAACTCGTGACATGCCAGCCACAATCCGATACCTTTCCCCCAAAAGGCGACCGCAAACGGCTACAATCACTGGAACTGACCTGATATGAACTTTGGCCCCGTGAATGACGACAGTGAACATTTTTTATAACGTGCGCGAATACCGTTTATTGCTAAAAGCCGTTTGTTCCTGTTATGGTAATTATTGGTTTTGCTATCACGTAATGCGCCATCTATTTGCCATTTTTTGCTATTTTTTTTTGCTTTCAATAAAGCCTTATGTCATTTTAAGCAATGTCAATTTGTACCTTTCTACCTACATTTTTCCGTAAATTATTGAATTTTCGAATGTAAACGGACTTTTGGGTCACCCGATATAAAATTAAAACTTAAAATGGATCTTCAATTTAAACTCTGTACAAAATTAATACCCAAGAGGACATCAAACTCTTTAATCATTCATTAACAAATCAAATTACACTAAGTCTTCATTTTGAAAAATGAATATGATGGTATTTCATCATGATGTTTACTAATTTGCTTCGTGACGCACATCATTTTGCATATAATCCTTCTAAAACTCCCTTATGCATGAAATGCATTTACATCCATTAGCTAAGTAACTGATTTACTTGAGACAATCATTCCATCGCTTTGCAATTCAATGAAGAGCTTTATCATTACATTGGAAAACGCTGAATTGAGAAATCAGTCTCACAAAGTCAACATCATTTCGACATTCTAATAATGGTGAAAGAATGTAGTTTTGAAAAGAGAGCTAGCTGTTAAAAGATCATTTTCTGGTGATTTATTTTCGCGCTTATTTCCTTATCTCGTAAAATGTAAAAAAGTAAAGAAAATGTAATTGCGTTTTTCTCTTTACGAATTCGAAGTATTTTTATAATACTTATTGTGTTTTTAAATATATATTTGTCGTTTTATTAAGGGAATATGTGTTAAAAGTTCAAAGATGATTGAATTTAAAATCGGAAATTGCATCATTTTTAATCGAATAATTTAAAGATTCGGTAAATTTGAAACTTTCATATGCTAGTTATGAAAAATAAAATTATAAAACCAGTGGTTTCTTTTTTTTTTGTCTAACATTAATTTATTGGAATTTAACCACTTAAAAAATTTTGAATGTTTTAAAAAAGTGTTCACATCACACAAAGAGAATATTGTTGAATTGTAATGTGGAAATAGGATCTGTGAATTTTCATTTTTTTAGAATTCTTGATCTATGAATTTTAGTGAGTGAGTGAATATGAACGCCGCATTATTCAGCTACTCGAGGGCTTTTAGAGACGGACCTCTAAATTTTGAACTGTGGTCAAGTGACGAGGACTACACCTGAGGTGGCAATTCTCTCTCCAAGCTTCCACACCACGCCAACAGGAGGATATTTGAGGTCTTGACAGATTTAACGTGCATCGCGCCCCTGCACGGTCGATCTTCAGAGATACTAGGCTCAAATTCATGACACGCCAGTCACGAATCCGTTACCTTGACCACTTGGCAACCATGGCCACCTGATATTTTCAGAAAATTTGGGAAGCGTTGGCATTTAGAACTTTTAAGCCTCACTAGTGAATTTTATGAATTGAATGTGTTCATCCTACGTTTGTATTCGCGTCTTTTGAGGAATTTGAATGATTGTTATGCACCCACGTATATAACGATTAAACTACTTTCAATTAAATTCCTCTTGTGTTGAAATAAACAATTTATTTCCTCGCAAAATATCTCGGAAAAGAAATTTATATAACACAAGCAAATGTAAACTTTATGATGTAATTTTGAAGAACTGAATACATTCAGGCAGCTAATTTGCTGAAAAATATTCATTTTTGAAAATTTTACAAATACTAGTTCACATATATTTATTGACTATATAATGAAGTTTCAAAGAACTACTTATAGTGTTTCTGCTCATATAAATTTTTTATTCAAAAGCAATGTTCTACGAAAACAATGTTTCATTTAAGTATAATGCTTGCTAAAATTAAACGATTCAAAATACACTACTGGCCTGTATAATTGCTACACCAAGAAGGCGACATGATATAGACGTTAAATTTAAACGACATGAAGGTGCTGTGATATGCAAATGATTAGCTTTTCAGCTCATTCAGATAAAACAGGCACCGGTAGCGACACCTACAATGTGTTTAAATGAGGAAATGGTTCAGTCTGTTTCTCATATATACACAAATTACATTTGAGCGTTTTGGCCTGTTGAAAAGTTATGATGCCTCGTGTAAGAAGCAGAAATGCGTACCAGTACGTTTCTGACTTTGATAAAGGTCGAATTGTAGTGTACACGGATTGTGGTTTATCGTATCGCAGGATTGCTGCTCGCATTGGTCGAGATGCAATGACTGTTAGCAAAATATAGAATCGACGGTTTCAGGACGGTAATACGGAACGTCGTGCTGGATCTTAACGGTCCCCTATCACTACCAGTCGAGAAGACAGAGAAGTTGCTCGTATGGCCTTAATAGATCGTGCAGCCACGTCACGACCCTCGAGTCAAGAATTGTGATCATTTGCAAGACAACAAATGTCTGCATGAAAAGTTTGGTGACGTCTGCAGCAATATGGACTCAGTTAGGAGACCATGGCTGCGGCTCTCTTGATGCTGTATCACACACAGAAGCGTCTTCAATAGTATTATCTACGACGAACCCGGGTGCACGAATGGTGAGATGTCATTTTTTCAGATGAATCCATGTTCTGTTTACAGCATCAAGACTGTCGCACCCGTGTTTTGCAGTATCGGGGTGAACGCACATTGGCAGCGGGCATTCGTCATCTTCTTACTGGCCCATTACCTGGTGCGATGGTATGGGTTACTAATGGATACACGCCTCGATCTTCTCTTGTTCGCGTGAGTAAGTGAATATTAACCGCACACTGTTCAGCTACAAGATGGCTTTTGGCGACGGACCTCGTTACTTTGAGCCAGAGTGAAGTGACGAGGATGACACATAAGCTAATACCCCCTCCTAACTACCACACAACACAAATGTGAGGATGTTTGAGCTCTCGACAGATTTGACATGCATCTCTCTCCTATGCCGCGGGTCTTCAGCGGTACTGGGCTCGAACTCGTGTCAAGCCAGCCACGATCCGATACATAGACCATTAGGCTACCGAGGCCACACCTCTTGTTCACATTGAGGGCACTTGGAACAGTGCACGTACCGTGTAGGGAAGAGATGCATGTTAAATCTGTCGAGAGTTCAAACCTTCTCCCGTTGGTGTAGTGCGGTAGTTCGGATAGAAGGTGCCAGCTCAGGTGTTGTCCTCGCCACTTGACCATGGCTTAAAATTAAGAGGTCCGTCGCTAATAGCCCTCATGCAGTTGAACAGTGCGACGTTAATATTCACTCACTGAACAGTACACGTTACATTTCTGATGTATTACGACCCGTGGCACTACCATTTTTTCGAGCCCTGCGAAACCCAAAGTTTCAGAAGTATAATCCACGACCACATGTTGTCGGTACTGTACAGATTTCATGGATAGTTGCAATGCCAATCCGCAGCCCCGCTAGAAATAAAAAGAAATATTTTGTGGATATTTAAATCTCTATGTAAAATAAATATCAAATGAACAAGTCAAAGTTATACTCAAGAAACAAAACGAAATGAAAGTTTTCAATGACTGTTCAGTCAGATATTTATGTAAAGATGCTCTAAATTGTGAATG